ACTCAATTTTGCCACAGTGTGGGAAAGCAGTCATAGATAATACACAAATGAATAAACCTGAGAATCTTCCAATAAACACTGAGATTTAAGTTTTGTATAACTTTGATATCATAAAATAGTACACCCCAATCACTTAAAAATATAAATCCCTAGCTATAGGCCATATAAAACAGGTGATGGGCCAGGTCTGGCCCACAGATTACAGTTAGTCAACCACTGCTTGAAAGAAGTCACTTATTAACTTGGGCTCAGTTTACTTTTCTCTAACATGGAAACAAAATAATGACTGTTGTACTATCTACCACAGAAGCCTATGAAAAAGATCATCAAAGATAATATATGTGAACAGATTCTATTTCACATTCACAAAATAATGATTATACAATGCCAGGCAGTGTGTAGCACATAATGAGAGACTAACATAGTTAATATCCTTTATTTTCCATGAGTTTACAATATAAATGAGAAACTACAATGTAAACAAAAGAAGTACTGAATATCCTGTGTTAATTACCAGATGTAGTCAATCCAACTCCATAAACATAATAAACAATTATTAAGCATTTACCATGCCAAATATACAGGCATTTCAGAATTACACTAGGCACACACAAAACACAAAAACTGCACCCTGACACATTTTAAATAAAGTGCTTGTTTCAGCAATCAAGTTTTTCAAGAGTTTACTCTAGCACCTATAGTCTGTCTTTTTATTCTCTAGAATAAATATTTAGGTTGTGTCCAGTTCTTTTCTTTTTACAGGTAATACAGGAACAAATACCCTTCATATACATACAGTTCAAAAATCAAAGGACATCTGAAAATTTAATAAGTCACATAAATTGTTCCATCAAAGAGACTTTGGTACTTTATATCCCCACAGTATTATGAAACTGACTATTCTCTATATCTCTGCCCATTCTATATAATGCAAGAATTAGCAATAACAGGTTTATTATGAATTCCTCTAATAAGAGAGGATGAACATCCTTTATATGTGTAGGTAGGTACCATTAATAATAACTTTTCCATCTAGCATCTGTTCATTACAATATGTAATTGCTTCTTACAGATTTTTAGCCCTCCACATATTAAAGTAATAGAACTCTGACGTAATTGACAATTATTTTTATCATCTCTTAAATTGTCTTCTCACTCCACACAAACTTTTTTTGATATATATAAAAAACATTTTTATATGGTTAAGCATCTTTCAAGAATCTAAAAAAGGAACCTCAAATTAAACTTAAAGAAAATAGAAAGGAGAAAACACAAAGAGTTAAATATGTAAAAACAGAAAACAAGCACATACTACAGGGGAATAACAAAATCAAGGTTAATAAACACTTACAAAAAAAGGAAGCAATAATCATTAACAGAAAAGCAAAAGTATACATATCCATAAGGCATATGCATACTAAAAGAACAAAAGAAGACATTATAAATAAGTTTATTTTAATATTTAGACAAAATGTACAAATTTTATCAATACAAATTTTACCAAAGCTGATACAAGAATAAATCTTAAAAGTCATGTAGCAATTTTTAATGGACTATTCACACATAGACAATCCCAGGTCTAGATAGCATTATGGGTAATTCTACCAAGTATCTAAGTAAGAAATAACACCAACCACAGGTAAAATCCAGATAGTTAAAAAAAGAGATGAATGCCAAAAAAAGTATCTACAGTCAAATAAAGAACATCTATTAACGAAGATACTATTAAAAGTAAAGACTCAAGTGTCAGAATCAGAGAAGACATTTGCCAAACAAAATTAGTCATAACCTGAATATAAAGAGAATACTTATGAATCAGTCAAGATAGCATTAAGTACCCAACAAAAAAATGGGAAGAACAGAAACAAGCAACTCACAAAAAATTCCCCCAAAATACACATCCAAATTGTCAATAAACAAGAAAATGCTTGATTTCATTCGCAGTCATCATTAAAAAAACAAAACTATAATGAAATGCCACTATTCACCCATCAGTATGTCTAAAAAACAATTTGCTAAAACTTAAAATACAAGTGTAACAACTGGAACTCTTAGTCCTGATGATGGAAATACTCTAGAAGTCCTTTTTTCAGTAACTAGTGAAGTTTAAGACAAGCATAACCATTGACCTAGCTAGTATTTTCATTCCTACATACAATGTGCGTGTCCAACAGAAATGTGTGCACATGAACACCGAAAGTAACACACAAGAATGTTTATTATGAGCATTATTTCTAACAAAGCCAAACCAGAAACAACACAAATACCTGCTAACAGTACAAAATGAAAGTCATTTGAGGTAGATTTAAACAGTGGAAGAAGACATAGAAAAGAAATGAACATTACTACATGGAAAAACAACGTGGATAAAGCACACAGAGTGAGCTAGAGAGAAAAAATACACACTACGATTTCATTTAAAGTTCAAAAACAGCAAAGCTAATCTCTAGTGTTTTAAGTCAGGATAGTGGATACCTTTGGAGGAGGAGAGAGGCCAGGGTTTCTTCTGGGATGTTGGCCAATTCTATTTCTAGAACTGGAAGGTGGTTAAACTAGCATGTTTATTTTGAGGTAATTCTTTCAACTGTACACTTAAAATTTGCATACTTTTCTGTGGGTGTTATACTTTAATTCATTAAAAGTTAATAAAAGAAGAATGAAAGTTTGATTCTACTAATGCATTTTCAGCACCTATGAAAATACTGAAAAAAAATTTCTCCAACAATCTATTAATAAAGTATACTGGTTTATGTTCAATCAAAATATTAAATCACACAGTCAAACAGGGTAAGTTTAACATAAAGAACTGCTGCCTCTGATACAGGAGTAATTAAAAGATGTAAGAAAACACCATACAGTACTCGAAGGCTGACTCCAGGGCACCCAAGGGGAAAAAACTTATAAAGAACCCCACACACATCATTTGAGTAGGTATGGTTTAGCCGCTAGATAGCACAGGTGAGGGCTTAGCTAGCCTGGAATTGCTAAGCAAACAACAGAAACACTCTTGAAAACAAGCAGTTAAGGGATGCCTAATAAATCATATTTAATAGCTTTTTCTAATTCTGAACTATCCTTTCATTTTGGAATAAAAACCACTAGCCTGTTTACATATGACTGTATTCTGTTTGTGTTGCTATTAATTTGTCATTTGTGGATCTTTGTGTATAAAAAAAGCATAAAAACACGTAAGTATTAATTCTGTAATAATCATCAAGTAAATGTCCTTGTTTCTAATTGTTTTCAGTTCGCATTTTCTCAATTTTATAAAAAATACAATCATTTCACTTACAAATAATAATTCCTTTGTTTCACCACTTCCATACCTTACTTTTACCAGAATGTGATAATATGACTTAAGTTTTTAAAAAGTTCACCTGTCTTCTGTGCTGGGAATATAATGATGGCCACAAAGGTAGTAGAAGAGAAATCAGTGAAAAGAGGCTACTGCAATAATTTAGGCAAAGGATGATGGTGGCACAAAATGGGGACAGGTGACTATATTGGTATAGATAGTTAAGAAGTTACTAGATTCAAGATAAATATTACAAAAGTGGTCAGGCAGGATTTATGGATTAGTTACATGCTGTGAGAAAAAGAAAAATCAGGAATACTCTAAGATTTTTCATCTCACCAACCATAAAGTTGTCATCAAGTAAAAGAGAGAAGGAAGCAGTTAGAAAAGGCTTTGGAGGAAAGACAGGCATTCAGTTTTGCATATAAGATTTTGCATTTAGGATAGCAAAAAAAAAAAAAAAAGGCAAATTAAGTGGTGAAAGAACAATCAATCAATTTCCCAAACATGACTGAATCTCCAATATTCCATAAAGACCTAAATTTAAGAACTAAAACTAATCATTATAATCAAAATTATAACAAAATACTATCTCAAATTCATTAGATGGCTACTATTAAAAAAAGACAAAAACAAAAAATAATTATTGGCAAGTATATGGGGAAATTGAAAGCTCTGGGCACTGTCAGTAGGAATGTAAAATGGTACAGTCACTGTGAAAAATAGTGTAAAGGCTCCTCAAAGCAGAACTACCATATAATCCTGCAATTCCACATCTGGGTATATACCCAAAGAATGGGTAGCAAGTTCTCAGAGAGACATCTACATCTTATTCATAGCAGTATTATTCACAATAGCTAAAAATGGAAGCAACTGAAGTGTTCACTGATGGATGAATGGATAGACAAAATGTAGGATACTTACAAGGAACATTATTCAGTGTTAAAAAAGGAAGAAAATTCTGACATATGCTGTAACACAGATGAAACTTAAGCATATTATGCTAAGTCAGTCACAAAAAGACAAATACTGTATAATTCTAATTGCTGGTTATTTACAATAGTCAAAAATCACCGAGACCAAAAATAGAATGGTGATTTCCTGGATAGGTGGAAGGAAATACTATTTAATAAATACAAAGATTCAGTTTTACAAGATGAAAGAGTAAAGAGATAAATTCTGTAAGGGTTGTACAATGTTATTAATTTATTTATCACTATTGAACTATATACTTAAAAATGGTTAAGATAGTAAATTTTATTATATGTATTTTACCACAATAAAAATTTTGAGGCAAAAATTAAGCAAATGTAATGCAAATATAATTTTTAAGAAAGTCAGTATTTCAATAATCACACTTTCCCCAGTTACTGACAATTGTGATTAAGATTTGGCCACTAATGTACATCCTGTATATAAAAGAATTTAATAGTATTTATGGTGACTTCTCATTTGTCTCAAGTTGATAACAATCTGTACAATGCTTTGGTAGAAAATGCTTTCTTTTTCTTACATGTGATATCAGGATAATTTTTTTTTGTCTTTAGAAGCAGAAGACAATAATGAGTAAAATTCTTCCATATCTTTTAGCATATACTTTACATATGGGTAATAAAATGTATTACAAAGCATTTTCCCATTTTAAGTTTGTTATTTGACAGTAAATCTTCCACAGAGTTTAACTTATTATTATTATTTGCTACAGACTCTTCCTAAAAACAAGAGGCAGCCCATTTTCTCCAGATGACTCATCAACTAAAGGCACAGTAGAATGAAGTGTTCCAATTTGAAATACCAACAGCTAAATATAACCTCTTCCACAACATCAGGAAATTCAGTGTCTCTCTCTAGTCTATAAGAGCAATCTTAAGAGGTCACCTTAATAACACATTTAGCACATCATGTGATCAGCAAGAAGGAAAACCTGGAACAATATACAACTTTTTACAAAAACATTAAGCAATAAAAGGAAAAAACTTTGCAAATCACACATAAATCTCATTCTTTATGTAAAACATATCTTTCATAAAAGCATTTAGAATCTTATAATATGAGTACTGGTCACAAATGCTAAAATTTGTTCAGTGTTCCTAGTATAAATGAAAAACTTTTTCACAGCAACTAAACATATGAGAATGCCAGACTTCTGAGATTACTCTATTGAGGGAAAATAGTGATATACATAATAAATTTTACAAAAATATTAAACCAAGTTATTTCTTCTGTATCTTTATCTTGCATATAAAACAAAATGCATGAAATTACTAGTTAATCAAAAGTACTGACAGGTTTTCAAATGCACAAGAAGAAACGAGCACAAGAACATTACAAACACAGTAAATCAAAGTACAAAGGGAAAATAGTACAGAGGCAGTCTGACCAATTAAAGATAACTCTCAGAGTCAGACGAATGAAAGAATTAAAGAAATACCTGACAGTTTCTGAATGCTTAGGTTTGGTCATCCCTTAAGCCTAATAAACCTCTGTGTGTGTGTGTGTGTGTGTTTGTAATTATGTTTTGTGTGTGTGTGTATGTGTGTTTGTGTGCAAGCATAAGTTTTGACCAAAAAAACAATGAGACTTCAGGTAAACAAGTCTACAGTGAAGTTTTGAAAGTTTACTTTTGTATAGTATGGTCACTTTTTTCTGAAAACCACAATATTGATTTACATTATCTCTAATAATTAAATGTTGATCTCAGTGCAGGAGAATGAAAACTGGATGTACACAAGCTGTTTAAACTCAAGAGATTCAACTACATGGGCAAGTCCTAGAACTTGCAATATGCAAAATCTCCCAGGAGTAGGAATATATAACTGGGTTGTTGGGTATTCAGTTGAGGTTTGACAAATGAAAAGGTCTTAATGTCCACAGTTGGCCAAGGGAATTAAAGAATACATTTCAATAAAAACCTGAGAAAATTTAAGAAGCAGCTTGCACAAATATTTATTCAACAACTATAAAGACCTAAGGATTCTGTCCTTAATTACTACATATTATTATTGGTTACATGTTTTCTCTCAAAATTATATAACCACTCTCCCAAGCTGATTATAACCTAAGAAATCACTCCTTCCAAAGACTTTTTACACCGCAAAGTTGCTGATTCCCTACCCCAAACAGTCTTCAGTTCTACTTCTTTCTCCTTCAATCTCACTGCCACATTTCAAGGCTTCAGTTCTTATTTGAGCTATTGCAACAGTTTTATGAACGTAAAAAGGCATACCTGTATACAATTTAATTAACTCTCCTATTTAAAATCATTCTCATCACTTACTAAAAATTTGACAGGTATACATACAATGCAACCTGGTTATCTTCATCCTCAATTCCCCAACTCATGCACTATGCTTCAGTCATATTAAGGTGTTCCCATGAAACACTTTCTCATGTCTTTGAGAATCTTTTGCAAAGACTCTGCACAACTATAACCATGCTACACACACACACACACATTCAAACCTGTCAACCCCTTTTTTTGTCTAACCTCATACTTGTCTTTAGATTCTCAGCTTAAGGTATCATCCACTCTGGGAAGCTGACCTTAACTGTTAATCTTCTAATCTTACTCTAGATATCCCTTATGCTCTCAGAGGTGCTTACTGAAGTATCTGTAACACTTATCACTTGCTTTTTAAATTACTAGATACGTAAGTAGTCAATTCACTAAAACTCAAATTGCTTAGCTGCACAGTGACTATTATTATCTAAAATGAAGAACTATTTTAAGAATAAGAGCATGATTATGGTAACAAATCACAAAGTAATGCACACAATTAAACTGACCCAAGTATAAAAATTAGCAGAATCAAAAGCGAGAGTACTGAAAGTAGTAGTAAGGCGCATTTGAAATAATTGACCATGCTACTCAGGATGGATAAAGAGCAATATGAAAATAGGAAGGGGGCCTCCCTGGTAGTACAAGGGGTTAAGACGCAACCTACAAAGCTATCCACAGCCACTGCAGCACAAGTTCAATCCCCAGTCAGAGAGCTGACCCACATGGTGCAGCAGACCTCTCCTGGCTCGTCTGCTGCTCCCCTCAGCAGCATATTTCAGCCAATCTGTCTGTTCCATTTCCTACTCTGTCTCTGGTGAATCCTCTCACCTCCACCCCCGCATCTCTCTGGTCTGTACCCCATTTCTTGTATGCATAAATAAATCTTTAAAAAAAAGAAAATAGGAAGGGGTTCGATTTGAGATTGCTCAAATGGAAGATCGATAAAGATAGCTATAACAAGAATTTAAGTACATTTGATAACTGGAACTGTTATCAACATGGAACTAAAAAAATTAGAAAATAAAATATTTGTAAAATAGGTACCAAAATTTTCAAAGACTGTGAAGGGGTCTAAAATGGTAACATAGATAAAAATTCTAAAAGCTGAGCTTCTAAAAGCTGGTGGCATAGGGGTTAAGTCTTGGGGCTATCAAGCTATTGTGAACTACTGTGGACACAGTTCATTCCCAGGCCAGAGAACTAACCCATGTGGCACAACAGACCCCTCCTGTCTAGCCTGCTGCTCCCCTCAGCAGTGTATTTCAGTCAACCTGCCTGTTCTGCTCCCCACTCTGTCTCTGGTAAATCGTGTCACTCATGCACTTCTGGTCTCTACCTCCAGTTCTTGCATGCATAAATAAATAAGAATAAATCTTCCAAAATGAAAAATAAACAGCTTTAAAAAAAATTTTAGGGGCCTCCCTGATGCCACAAGGGGTTAACTCTCAGCAAAATGAAGCTATTAGCAGCTTCATTTTGCAGCAGGAGTTCGATCCCCCACCAGGGAGCTAATTCACATGGCTCAGCAGACCTCTCCTGTCTTGCCAGATGCTTCTCCTCAGCAGTGTATTTCAGCCTATCTGCCTGTTCTGCTCCTCACTCTGTCTCTGGTGAATCCACTCACCACCCACCCCTCACCTCTGGTCTATACCCCAGTTCTTGGATGCATAAATAAAATAAATCTTTAGCAAAAAAAAAAAAATAATCTAAAAGTTTCTACCTTTCCTTAGTATCATCTATTGTTTTTCTTATTAATTGAAGAAGAAATTAAGCCACCTTCTGCTTCCTTTTAAATTATCACTATCTTCCAGAACAAGTCCCTAATTATTTTCTGCTTATTTTTTTTCTATAGACACTTGAAGTTTGTCTTAGCCAGAAGAGTACATTCTGTATCATATTACTTTTATATGTAAAATAAAACTAACAGAAAAAAAAAAAAGATCAGATTTTACACTAAACAGTGCTCATGTAATAATCTAATAATCTTATGCTACAAGATATCAGTGAACAATTAATCATTCAACAGGTTCTGGTAAAAGAATGACTTATTGAAAACAAGAAAAAAACCTTCATGAATACATTTGATATAACCATGAAAGCTACTATGAGAATGCACATTTTGTGGGAAACTTCAGCTATTTTCATCATCATACTATATCCATGGCTACTCTTATTACTATGTACAGCTTTAAAATCAACAAAACAATTTCTTATTAAGGTGGTTAAATCCAACAAAGGAATGAAACTAAATCTTACAATCCTTGCAAGCTTAAGGGAATTACTATAATTTATGGGTATTCATAATATTTCAGTACATTTTAAATGATCCAACTACAGCGTCTTTTCATAAGTACATTGGTATCACCATGCAATATTAATCCATATGCTCAAATCTCTTTCACAGTTTACAGGAACAAAGCAGTTTTGATTCACAAACAATGCCCTGCAGTCAAATACGCTCATGAGGTATTAATTTACAACTTCATCTGTGATCAGTTAAACTGCATGTGAAATCTTAAACATCCTTAAAGAGCTCACCACAAATAGTTCAATAACAGATTTTTTGGTAACGTTACTTTAACAAAAAACATGTAAGATTAAATTCTATTGTAAAATAAAACCAAATGCCACTTGCTTTTAAGGATAAGCCACTAACAAAACAATCTTTTAAACTGTCACCTTTTGCATCTAAAATATTAATTAAAAATGTAATGCCAGTATCAAAAACATATGCTTCAAAAGCTTTAGCAACATAAGTTACGCAAAATAAGAAAATCAATTTCATGAAGAAAATGTACATATTTCAACAAATAAGAAATATCTTTTTTTTTTTAAAGATTTATTTATTTATTCATACAAGCACTGGGTACAGTCAGAAGCGCAGGAGGGTGAGAGAATTCACCAGAGCAGGAGCAGGGAGCAGAACAGGCAGACTGACGAAATACACTGCTGAGGGGAGCAGTGGGTGCGGCAGGAGAGGTCTGTCACGCCATGTGGGACCCTCACAGGTGGCTGGGGATTGAACCGGTGCTGCAGAGGCTGCAGGCAGCTTCGCAGCCCAGCGCTCAACCGCTGCGCCACCAGGGGAGGCCCAAATAAGAAATATCTTTAATCAGTCCTAAAAAGATGACACAGATCAGAACTCCAAAAGTCGAATTTATTAAAATGTTGGGTCAACCTGAATCATATCAAAATAAAATATTAAAGCTATCAGTTTTCCTAAACAACTAAAATGTCAGATTCATACCAGTTACGGGCAAAGACAATAAAAGGACATGATACAAATTTCCAATTCAGTTTATTTTAGTGAAAAACAATCACTAACTTCTCAAAAACCTGCAGTTTATTGAGCTTTAAAATTTATGTAATCTGAATGTTAGACCATTTACTTCAAGCTTTTTTTTGTTTGTTTTTAGCTAGCTACTTTAGTAAAAGCTATTTTAGTCAGCTTTCAAAGCAAATCAGAGGAATTGTCATCTCACATAAAAAGTCCAGATGTACAGGGCCTCCCTGGTGGTGCATAGTCTCAACACTGTGATGCTATCAGCAGCCACTGCAGCATGAGTTTCCCTAGCCAGAGAGCTAATTCACATGACACAGCAGACCTCTCCTGTATCACCTGCTGCTCCCCTTAGCAGTGTATTTCAGTCAACCTGCCTGTTCCGCTCCCCACTCTGTCTCTGGT